GAAAACGAGAAAGTTGTAGTTGATAGAAGCGAACTTGATAATGCATGGCATTTTACCGTTGAAATAACAAAAGACTTTCCTGTCGAGGTGTTGTGCGATATTTATGTGCAACTAAGCAGATGCGTTGGGAAATATGCTCAGAAATACGATAGAAAATCACTGCCAAAGGTAAATACTTTGTATTAATTGTAAAATTATATTACAGAAACTATATAATGATGAAAATATTGGCTAATTTAATTAGATATAAATGTATGTTAACAAACATTGTTACTTTCAGGACTTGCTCAAGGAAGTGGAAAAGTTTACAGAGTACAAGTCACAACGTCAGTAGAATATAATACACAGGTATGAAAGAAAATGCATATTACTAACAAGACAAATGTATTACATTATTGCGCCATTGTGACACCTTCAGCAACACATCGGAAGGTCTTTTTTTGTATATTTATACTGATCGTAAAGCTGGATATTATCATTGTTGTATCAAATGGAACTTTGGAATCCTATATTTCTTAGTTATTATACTGCCAATTTTTAGGTGAGTAACAGCATATATCTGCAAAGCTATTGCATTTGTGTAAGATAAAAGGCAATTTTAGTTGATTATTAAGTTCCAGGTACATTAGATTGGATTTTGTACATATTCTAAAAATACTGTAAATGTCTAATCAAGTGATTATTTGATATTTCATACAAAAATAAGATAATATCACGAATCTTAATTATATATATAGGGCTGAAAAAGTTAGATTGCCGTTTTTTATTGCTGCCATTTATACATATCTTTTTTATAAAATTAATTTGATTTAAATTTAATAAATGGCTTCTGTAAAAATTTGATTTATTATTATTGGCTTGATAATGAAAATATTATCGTGTTTAAAGCTCCTGAGTAGTCATTACAGCCATATGGAATTGTGACGTCAGAAGCGAGAAATGACACGTTAACAAAAATTAACGTGTCATTTTTCGCATCTGATGTCACGATACTACTCAGGAGCCTTAAAACTTAGTATTTTCGAAATTACATCATTTTTATATATCATAATGGATGTGATAAAAATATTAAAACCAAATAAGATAAAAGTAGTAAATTGCTAACATTCTTGCATAATATTCCTTCAGAAAATATGAACTTTTTTATTTCTAAACGTTTGTTCGAAAGATTCCAGATTAAATATAAAAGATCCAATTAAAAACTTATCTGACAATATATAATATGTATAACGCAAGAGAGGATACAAGTTTTTTTATTTAATCTTCAGTCACTTAATATATATATATATATACATACTTTATATGTATACAGACACATTTTGCAAAATATATATTTTTCTTTCAAGTAATTATATTATATTGATCATACAGGATGAGGAAAAAGTACCGAAACCACGAAATATCTCGAAAAATATAAATTTTATGGAAAACAGTTTTAGATAAAAGTTATAAGATTTAAAAAGTTTATCTACCGATCTTATCAGTTTAATCTTGGGTGACATCGCCAAAGTCAAGTCAAAATCATATTGATTTCTTTAAAATCTCTTTTCTGGAAATCTTTATTTAAAACCTGACTTGACGTCAGGTTAGGTCAGGTTTACGACGCCGTCTGAAGTCAAGATAAGATTAGTAGATAGATTTTTTTAAATCCTACAACTTTTACTGAAACAGTTTTCTATAAAACTTATATTTTTCGACATATTTCGGAGTCCCTGTATTTTTTCCTCATCGTCTGTATAAGAGATAATGAAAACACAAGAATTGGTACATTGTGTACTTAACAATTTTAATTTAATTCAATCTTTATTAAAGATATTAATATAGCACGATGATTGTTCGCAATTTTGGATAGCGGTTTTTTTATATTATCACATGAGTTTTTTCATTTTATTAAATTATTTAGAATTATTCATTTCGAATAAAAATTTACATCGTAGAGAAAGTTAAACGAAACGTGTTTTTTCTTACATTTGTTACATACATATACTCTCTAAATCTTTTGGAATGAAATCTCACTCCAAAAAGCTGAAAAAGATTTATAGAGAATATGATTGTGATTTTTTCTTTTTTATCGTATCGTATATCAAAATATACCTCGTATTACAGAATGTATCAATTCAAATTATTACTTATAGTATAAGATGATACACTTGACGTAAAAACGATACACTTGAATAAAAACGATCAAATCTTATTATCTCAAGAGAAAAAATTCATATATAAAATGTTTTAATTTTATATAAAACATTAAATTTTTTAATATTAAATCACGAAAATTATATTCGATGTCTAAATAAATATGAGATAATGAACATATATCTATATATAACAATATTGTTCGTCAAAACTATTACATCTTTCTAACTGAATAATTGCTTCAGTTAAATGTGACCTTTTTCTTATGTGATGGTAACTTTTGATCTATCCTTTTCAGTTCATATGAAATAACTTAAGGTGTATTCGAAATGTGACTAGTAATCTGCAATTTAAATAGACCAAAGTTGTAAAAAGGATAAGGTTTTACTCGTTGAAGATGGAAACAGGGCACTTAATATACACACACTTACACTATTATAAATATGAAATACCTCGATAAAAAAAAAAATATATATATATATATATGATGCAGTGGCGGCTAGTTAGTCATGTTTAGAGCGGTTTCGAAGACTCTTAAAAAGTGAATGACTTTAAAATAGCAAAATTAATCGTTCGCGCGTTAGATCTCCAAAAGTGAGCCGCAACAATTAATACATGGCAAGTGTTTGGGATTTAAATTAGCGAAAAAAATTACCTTTTTTACTAAATTTACTAAAAGAAATAAGTAATATCAAGTTTAAAATTCGAAACGATAATGGAAAGGAATATAAAATGTTGAGACTTCCAGTCAGTCCTAGGCACTCTTGAATATCTGGCCGTCGCTCTACAAAATATCCCAGAACTATCGCACTTTCTTCCTCTTAATTTTCTTTTTAATTTTCGTATCTATCCGAAAGTGAGACAAATAAAATTTTTAATAGATAATCAATTTTACAAAACTATGTTTTAGGAAAAAAAAACTGCCGTTCTTACTCAGAAATCCAAATATTCATGCTCGAGAAGAACTGTGACGATTCTGGGAGACTTTGTGTTATATGTATGTACATGTATAAATATTAGCGAATATTTAGGATATAACTTGCCTTCCCCAGATTCGTGTATTGGTTGTGACTTGCTGTAATTGTGAACGATTAGTTACCAGATGAAGTCGTATGCGACGAGACGAAAACTCGTTTTCACTTAATTAAGCTGTCCCGAACAGCCTGAGAAAAGCAGATTCTCTTCAATAACCCTTTAAACAATACATCGGAGGCAACATACATACAGGGCGCAATCCATCCTTTGCTGTTCAAATCATACAAATCGAATAGGAGCTATAGTAAATAAACTCTGTCAATAAATCTCTCATGTGATCCACAAGTAATATCTTAGGGATACATCGTTATTGTTAAGATGTAATGTTTTTCATTTGCAAGAGCGTGATTTAAGAGGTAATCTACAAATTTTGTTAATAGCATCCGTTTCTTGCGTCAGGTGATGCATTCGTAGAAGAAATTTTTGTAGTTAGCATGATAAGAATTCGTTTCATTCGGCGATTGGATCGTTCGTCGAAATTCGATTGTATTACTTGCGAAATTTTCTAGTAAGTAGAATCGAAAAGACTGAGGTTTAGGAAAGAAAAAAAAAAGAAACGCTCGCTTTTTTCTCAGCGTTCGTATTATGCATATGCGATGTACACACATTCTCGATTCTCAACTCCGTTTGAAAATGAAAAAGGATGAAAGGGAAAGAAAAAGAAGAATTGCTTCACGTGAATTATTATTGATTCTCTCGCGATGGGAATCATACAAGTATCCGGTATTTGCCAAAGAAGCTAACGACAGATAATGCAAGACCTCACTCCTGCATATACATAATTATAACTGTTGCAAAGTGTTCAGATAAAATACGGAAGTTACACCGTTAACTCGCAGTCGGACGGATGTATATATATATGATTTTTCTTGTAGCGATCACAGATTTACATTCCGCACTCGAAGTCACGAATCCGAAAGAGACGGCTGTTCTGCGATTACGTTCTTGGTGCTCGTCGGTATGCCGTCGTTTTCGCAATATCACCGCATGAAAAAAATCCGCATTATACATACATGTACATATACATATATGTATAAACAATGTATGTGTATGCACTATCGAATCGAAAAGCTATCTTGCAAACACTGCCGATTACGGACGAGCGACCACATTTATTTGTTTGTCTCTTTCTTTCTATCTCTTTCTCAATATAACATCCCTTAAGACTACTCTCTACGAAGAATGAAGTATTAACACGCTCGAACTTGAGCTGTAGCATATCAAGTATCTGGCAATTTTTTCTACTGACAATGTACGCACGCAGAGTAGATGGTAGCCTTAAGAATTTAGGCGCATACACGACGAAGTTGTAAAAGATACGGACGAAAAGCGACGAGATGCATCCACTGCCTTATTTATTTTATCATATAAGTAATACATTTTATTGTCATATATTATAGTGAAATAAAAATTTCGTAATGTAATCGATTCACTGGCAATTTATTTGTATTCCTTCCTGTCCGTTCCTTTATTTTTTATTAGCAAGGAAATTGGAACATACGAGCGACGTATCGATATGAGAATCGATCCATGTGACTTTCCGTCTGTTAGCTGACGATAATGTCAGGAATAATGTTGAAATTGAGTAGTAGGTTCTCATAACTCCGAATAACACTTGCGTAAAAATTCTAGTGACAATATCGATTGTAAGATCACCTCAGGATGCACGAATAAATCGTGGATTTCCACCGAGACATCGATGATAGTAATTGATATTTTTACATTGATTATATTGAGTAATTGACATTTTTACATTGATTGTATCACAACACGCAGAAGTGAAAATAGATCGGTTTAGCTTTCCCTGAATTTTTGGAAAAGATAAAAAGATGTCTGGCATGGTGAAAGATTTCTCTTGCATCGGAGGACTGGAAAAGCATATCAGAATTGTGAAGGAGATGGTCCTATTCCCATTGATGTATGGAGATGTATATGCTAAATTCAATCTCAGACCACCACGTGGTTTACTGTTCCATGGCCCTCCAGGTAATGTTAAATACTTCATCATGCAAGGTGGATCTCTTTTGCTTTTATTCTTCACTAGGAACGGGAAAGACTCTAGTAGCCAGCGCATTAGCGACAGAATGCAGCAATTCCGAACGTAAGGTCTCCTTCATCTCGCGCAAAGGTTCCGACTGTCTTAGCAAATGGGTTGGAGAAAGTGAGAAGAAGCTCGAAAAAATTTTCTCTCTGGTCGGTAAAGTTTGATCTCTTATAATTCCATGCTATTCCATGCTATTCCATACTCTTATCATTAATTTGTTCAAAGTTTAATGATAAACATTTAAATTTAAAATCAACTTTCTTCAAAACTTGGCTATCTTGAACAAATTATACTGTAAAATTGAATCTGCAAAAAGTTATGCATATTCAAGAACCAATACAGCACAGAAATATCAAATATTTCAAATATTTTAGAAAATATTTTCTGAGTGATAAAAAGGAACATTAAAAAAAATATTTCTAACAAATTTTTAAGATGTTACTAAAAATGTTACCACGAAAAAAAATCATTTTAAAATATTTCTAAATTTTTTAAACAATATCTTTTCAAGTATTAAAAAAATTTTTTTTTAAACATTTTCCAATATTTTATACTATATTCCTGTAGAGTTTCCATAGAAAGTGAGCTTCCTCCATTGCATCTCCAATCCAAAGAAAGAAATTATTCTTCTCCAGGCACAACAGACAAAACCATGCATCATTTTTTTCGACGAAGTCGATGGTCTCGCGCCTGTGAGATCTAGTCGGCAGGATTTTGTTCATGCCAGCGTTGTCTCCACTCTTTTGGCCCTGATGGATGGTCTGGATAACAATTCCGAGATCATAGTGATAGGCGCGACTAACAGAATTGATGCGATAGATCCTGCTCTGAGGAGACCCGGCAGATTTGACAAAGAACTGTACTTCCCTTTGCCTTGCTACAGCGCCAGAAAAGAGATACTTTCGGTATCGTTCTGCTAATAAAAAATATCGCAACAATGTGTAAGAAAAAAAGCTAATGATGAAATGGAAAACGTTTTTGTTTTTATACGGGGATAGGTGCACATCAAAAGCTGGAAGCAGAAACCTGCACAGAAATTCTTGGCAAATCTGGCATCGAAAACGCTAGGATTCTGCGGCAGTGATCTGCAGGCTCTTTGCGCTGAAGCAGTTATGTGCTCCGTTCGCAGAAATTATCCACAGATCTATAATTCCAAGTCTAAGTATCACATCAATGAACGCCATCTCAAAGTAAGATACTTGGTGTGACAATAAATACTGATTTAATCCTATTTAACAAATAAAATAGATTACAGAAAAAAATAGACTTTATATAGAAATAATTTTTATGTAAAAATATATACATATTAGGGGGACCGGAAAGTAATGTCGTTTTTTTAAAAATGTCTGGCATGACTTTGAAGTACACAATGAGCTGATAAATGATAAACGAATATCGATATGCGATAAACGACATTACTTTCCGGTTCCCCTAATACGTTTCATACATTATATTATTTTGTACATTTCGTACTATTCTTACATAAAGTAAAACGTCTAATTGCGAGAGAAATATTTCTTATAAAGGTGGAAAAGGAAGATTTCTTGAAGGCACGCCAAAACATCGTTCCCGCGTCGCATCGCGTCATCGTCGCCCCGATTAAAAGCTTATCCTTCAGAATCCAACCGTTATTGCACGAGGATTTGTCGGGAATCCTGTTGCGTTTACAAACACTTTGTCCAACTGGCATGCTGACTTCCGACAACATGTAAGTGATATGAAAATATCCAGAGAGGCGAAAATCAAATACTAATCGACATGGGATCGCAGTACAGGTAAAGCCATGTCCAAATCGAACAGCTGTCCGCGAATTTTGCTGTGCGGTGAAGACGATTCTCACACTCGTCATCTAGGCCCGGCGTTGCTGCACACCCTGGAACACTTGCCGTGTCACATCTTGGACGTTACGACGTTGTTTGAGGAAACGGGCAAGGCGGCTGAAGAAGCCATGATACAAGTAGAAAACAATTATTTCTTGTTTTTGCAAAATATCAGACGACAGTCGTTTTGTTGTGATAACAGAAGATCAAAACCGCGCGACGCACCCTACCAGCGTTGCTGTATATGCCCGGGGTCTTGACCTGGTGGGATCTGGTGGATGAGACGGCGAGAGTGGTTTTTACCTCTTTAATACGTGGTCTCGATCGATCAGTGCACATACTCGTGCTAATGACCGCTCACTGTCGACACATTAATCTGCCATCAGAGGTTGATATCTTTTTTGTCTTTTTAATACTCTTTTGTTTTTTGAACATGTTTAATACTTTTCTGCCCGTGTTTTGTACATATTTAGTACATCAAGGTTTAAAAAATTATAATTCGAATTGGATGAGAATAAATATGACTAAGAGAAATCTTATTTTCGGTCAAAATATGGATTTAAATATTAATATAATAGTATAAATTTATGTATATATATCTCTAATTCTGCAAACAACGCCCCGAAATCTTTTTCAGTCTTGAAGCACAATCATGAATAGAAGTGGAATAGTAATAATAGAATAGTAATAAATTAAATTGACAAGCAATTTAATAATTTTTATTTTGAGCAATTTACTAATAAGCATTTTATAAAACTTAATTTGATTTTAATAAGAATCTATTTTATAAGAATATTAATAACTCGATATTATTAAGAATCTAAAAATAATAAGAGTCTGAGAATAATAAGAAAGCAGATATCTCAAGATATAAATATAATAGCATATATTCATTAAGATATATTTAAGTATATTTAAAAACAATAGATTGAAGTGAAAATGTTGAATATTTATAGAATCATTTTAATCAAAATAGAAAATAAATTATCTCTTAAACGACTGATCTTTAAATATTGATATATTTCTAATATGCTCGTAAGTGTACAATTATCGACTGCTTGTCACAGATTGCAGAATTGTATGATAATAATCGTGGCGAAATATACGAAGTGAAATCGCCTTCGCCGCAAAAGCGACATTTCTTTTTCAAGCAGTTGTTCAATGAAAAATCCGACAGTCTTTCCGATCACTCTTCGCAAGGTGATTATCCGTCTGAAATAATAACAATGTATAATGATTAATAATATTTATTTCTAACAAACGCAGCGGATCTGACGCCAATCTCATGCTTGAAGAAGCTCAAGGGTGAGAACTGGAAGCTAAAGAATCATATACACTCTACTGACTCTAATGGAGTTCTAGGTATATTTTTTAATACAAATTTTATATGTATAATATTTACGCATGTTAATGTGCATCGTAATGGTCTCTTAAGAGATTAGTGCGGCACGCGGCAGGAAGATTAAAACACAATCGAAAGCGCGAAATAAGCTCGGAGCTGTACGGTCCTTGCACTCGACGTCTTCCAAATCGAGTAACTGCTTTATAATTGACACATAAATCTTATAAGTCCTACCTGTATATATACGCCTTACTGAAAAAAATCACGTCACGAAGAATTATATTTAAAAAAAAATCACATACTGATTTGGAACAATCTCTTACGTGATTTACTTATTTATTATAATTTCGTTATATAACGAAATCACGTAATGTATGATGATTTTTTTTTCGTTATATATGAAATCGTGTAATTAAATCATGTAACAGATTGTTTCAAATTGTTACAAATCAGTATGTGATTTTTTTTTAAATGTAATTTGAAAAATTACATAATATTAGAAATAATTTTTCATCTATCATGTGATTTTATAGTTACCGAATTTTAAAGAATTAAATGATAGAAATAGAAGGAAGAATACATATTATTATGTGAATTTTCAAATTATGTGGTTTTAAAAAAAATCATGTACTGATTTGGAACAATTCGTGATTTACTTGTCTTAATTACATGATATCATTATGTAACTTTATGACATGATTTTTTTCAGTAGAACAATTTCTTAGAATTGAGTTATTAACACGTGAATAGTATAAATCACAATGGATTTGTATATTTTTATAAACTTGATGATTAGGAACGAACATCAAGAGAGAATACAACGCGTCCGGGGAAGGTCCGTCATCCAAACGGCAGAGATTAAGCGCCTCTTCGGTCCCGTCTAGCACCGAGAAATTGTACAGCTCACAATTCGAGGATTTGGTCGAAACGATTGTCAGATCAACCGACGAGTGGCCGAGTCATCTACTGGAGAGCCTGTTCTCTTCCCTCGAACTCGCAATGGAGAACAACGGAGATCTATCCGTGACGGTGAACGAATACGTCGCTCGTTATGAAGAATTAAAACGGGTCAAAATGCATATAAAGCAAGAAGAGGATTAATCGTTAATTTGGTCCCTCGTGAATCGTTTGTGTGATGTCCAAATTTGTGAAATTTGTGAAACATAATAGATAAATAATACAATGAAAAATTCGTGAAATGTAATATTGTGATGTAATAAATGACGCGGTAAACATTAAAAAAAATATTTTTTGCACATTTTTTTGCTATTAAATATGTACTGTTCATATAATTTTCATCATTTTGACGTTACAATTTATTTTTGTTCTTAATTTAATTAATTCTTAAAAGTTATCTGCATTAAAAAATTATCTGATTTAAATTATTTAAATTAAATGGTAAATAGGAAATTTATTTAAAAAAATTAAAATGCTTAATAATATCCACATAATAACGTACATTTAATTTGAAATTAAAACTAAATTTTAAAAGTGACAATAAAAAATTAATGAAAGGGCTCGAGGAAGGCGCTGTTCAGAGTACGCAAATTGTTCAAAGAATTCTCTCAATATAAAAGTTAAATTTATTGAAAAAAGAGATAACAATAGAACAATAAATCTTCAAATAAAATGAAGATTACAAAAGTGAAAAAATTTACCAGAATAGTTATGATTTTATTGGTCAATACTTAATGAATTTTTGTAATTTTCAAGATATAATACAATTGCCTCTCAGGTCACAACACATTGTTGTACCTCTCAGGGCATATGTTCAGATTCTCACTCGAGTGTCACTCCGTCCTGTTGTTTACTGAACGTTACTCAAGGATGACATTATGACACCCGGATGGAAATCTGAACATGTCTCAGGATATGACAGGCGTATAGAAAGAGTCTGCTTTGTCTCATTTGTTAGGGATTCCGATACGAGTTTCAAAGAATAGATGAGTGTTCATGAGTGGTAATCTGGGGATCAATTGTGTATTTCAGAGCTGTCTAGGATCGGATACTTTTGGCTTGAAATTGAAACGTGTCGGTATTCATGCCTATACATATATTACCGTTCCTACTTCTCATTTCATTAGGTGCATTTACACACATCACTCACATTGGCCGGTAGTATTTTACTATTTTACTAATGAGATTATATTATTTTAAATTAGCCAATTAGCGATATGAACAAAATGATATACACCCCCCATTTTATTGCTGTTTTATTATAGCGACGCTTGGTCTCAGGGATGACACTAGTCTGAAATCGTTAAAAGTTTTTGATCTCTGTCATTCATTATATTTAAAAATATTAATTACAATTTAACTCTGGGAGTCGATTGTGTATCTCAAATGAAGTAAAAATTGCAAAAGTGAACAAATTCACTAGAATATTCATAATTTAATTGATCAATAACTAACGAATGTAATTTTTACCTCATTTCGAGATACACAATCGACTCTCTGGTGTCATCTTGAAACGGTGAAAATTACAAAAATGAGTAAATAAATTCACTATAATAGTTATTGATCCCAATGAAATTATAAATATTATAGTAAATTTGCTCACTTTTATAATTTTCACCTCATTTCAAGATACACAATTGTTTATTAAAACGAATAAATAAAAAGCGCTAATTAACAGTCAAAATTTTGGTTTAATAATATTTTCTATAAAATTTTAAATACATCTTTTAGTTAACTGCGTGTCGATTACTGTCAAACTTGAAACGCAAACATAAACTGAAATAATAAAAAATTAATTGATTGTGAAATTTAGTAATTATATTAAAATAAGCATCTTAAGATACTGCAAAGAACTCATCGTTAAATATTGACACTTACATGTTGAATCTTCGTTCAGTCTTTTTGTAATAGTTCGCATAGCTCGAGTTTTGTCAAAATAATAATTTCATAAAAAATTTGAATATTACGATTTCCTAACTTAAAAGTAGTAATAAAAAAAAATAAATAAAAAGGCTCGAGGAAATAGGTGCTGTTCAGAATGTGCAAATTGTTTAAAGAATTCTCTCAATATAAAAGTTAAATTTATTGAAGAGACGACAGAACAATAAAAAATCGTTAAACAATATATAATAAATTTTCGTACGTTTCAGTTAGTCTTCTATCTTTCTTTAGCAATAATAAACACAAAAGTTACATACTCAAATTGCCTACGTATTGAGAGAATTCTTTGAACAATTTGCACACTCTGAACAGCGCCTATTCCCTCCGAGCCCTTTTATTTATTTTTTAATAATTTCATAGCTGGTACGTACTCAACTGATTTTTCGATAATAAATTTCACGATACACTCGATCTCTCTTTTATTATAAAGAAAGGTAGGATTCAAGATGTCGGCTAGTGTTTCAATTAATTTTATAGTGTTCAATTTGATTTTTGCAATGAATTGCACATTCGTGTTGCGGAATACAATGAGTTGCTATAATAAGTAAATTTTGCATTGTTAAGGAACAGTTTTAGAACTTGATACGATTTCTGAATTGCAACATTAGCACATTCTATGTGCCTTTGATGCATCGATTCGATGACGATGACCGTCTTCCCTTTATGACTCATAAGATCAAATCAGTTTCTCCTACTTACTTGAGAATTGAGAGGGCTTCTGGCAGCGGTAGAGGGGCCTGGCGATGTGGTCCAGCGAACTTATCAGTTGGAGTGTGGCTGCTGTGCAATGTTGTGTTGCATCCTGCACCTCGAGTACAATCGTGTTTCACAGCGAGAAATAACGTGCTCTATTTCAAAGAAAGCGAAGCAGTCTGATCATTGCATATTAAAACTGGCGGTGGTGTAACATCGGAAATTCTCTCTCCCTCTCTCTCCCTTCACCCTTTCCCTAGCAAGACTTACCGATTAGTGTGTGCGTGTCGGACGCGTAACATCGACGAGAAGCAACGGGGAAGTCACGCAAGCAACAACGGTAACGTGTGGATATTTTTATTTGCCACACGCAATATTACTGCGATAAATCGATCTTTTAACACGATCTTGTCACAATCCTAGTTTCCTTGTTCCTTTGTAGAAATAATTTTACTGCTGTGGATGTTTATTAAGCTTCTAACGACACTATGGGAAAATCAAAAAAAGACATAAATAATGTTTTCAACAAATATTTATTACAAACATGTAGATTGTTAAAAATCCTAAAATATTTCAATTTTCGGCATTGTCTTTTTCTCCTAAAAAAGTAGGAGCACCGCATATATATACCTAAGTGCTAGGGAAAACGACATTTTGGCTGTAATATTATTCTTATAAAAATTGACATACATAGTGTGCGATATTGACGAAGACGACGAAAACAGAAGAGAAATCGTGTAAATGAAAGTTTCTGAAAACAATTTTTTTTTTTTTTTTTAGATATCACATACATGGACTCACATGTTCCTTGTAATACAAAGAAATTTTTTATAAAATGTACAAGAACACAAAAATTATATCTATATTTATATTAATAGCGTATGCATGTAAGTAGAAATGTAGATATAAAATAAGATATTTGTAATCCAGTTTTAGCCTGCTGATTGACGTATCTACTATCACAAAGTTATTTGATCGCACATCAAAAATTAAAAGGAGAAAAACTTAAGTAACATATAACGTTTAGATCTACACAGTAATGCTTGATTTATGCTTCGGTCGTAACCTTAAAATCCTAAAATTCAGCCAATAGGGCTATTAGTTTTAATGGTCTTAACTGAAATCTGTATTCCATTGGCTAAATTTTAGAGTTAGGACCGAAGTATAAACTAGGCATAAGAATATTATTCTTCCTTTTTTCCCCAATACTTTTAAAAATTTTTAACTGATAACACTTATAAATTTTATTAGCGTTTTACAAACTTCTACTAATCTTTATAGCAAGAGCTGATAACTATAGCGAGATTAACAATTGTGAATTATTCACATTTAAATTTTTGAAGCATCAAGAATATTTTTCAGATATTTTTTCATATCTTGATTATATCAGTTAAAAATATTTTTGTATAATTATTGCTATAAAAATGTTTAGATTTTTTATTTATCATAATAAGCCAACTTTTTTTCTTCATGGAATTGAAATTTCATATATCACGCTGATATTCAATTCGCTTGAAGTATCACACAACTTTCGTTCATTTGTTTAAATAAAGAAGAAATGCTAATAATGAAATGACAATAGCGAGAAAAAAAAACGATAATGAAAGTTTACTCTTTTTTGTCGATTTTACATATATAAAGTAAGGGTTTCGATATGCACTGCCAGTACTGAAAATCTATAGTTTACGTTACGTATATTTTTAGTGGCAGTGCATCGGAACACATTATTAATGTTTAGAAAATATAGTAAAATATTTCTGTCTTTAAATTTGAAGAAAATTAAGATAATATAAAAGGAAAACAAAAGAATATATATTGGCACATTCATTGATGCCTTTTTCCTCAGGAGTTTTAATTGTCATTCACTTTCAATCCACTGATATACGGCAGATCGTCAGATTGCTTCCATGTTTCATAAAAATCCTGACGTGTGTCCCGAGGATATACCGGTGGAGCATATATCCAGTACTTTTCCAAATTATTATTCATTTCCGGTAAATCATTGTAGAGCTCGATTCCGTAACGCTGCAAATCTTCGAAATAAATGCCCAACTTTTTATCAAATGAATTTGCCAAAAACTGATAATCGCTTTCAGTCACAGTCATAAATGGTGAATAATCGGACGGTTCAAAATTGGTAAATGCGACCCTGTATTTTTCTGGACAAACGCTCGGCTCTAACTGCGAAGGCAACGTAAATGTTTCGCTTACAGCGTTTTGAACTAGCATCTCTCTTTCGATGCGATTAGGTGATTCATGATTGATATCACTTTGCGTATTTCCCCTGATTATTCGCAGTACTTCTTGTACGTCATCATCAACGTTCGAATTAGCTTTCGTCGGCTCGTTTTTGCCCAGTCGAGATAGCGAAGGAGACAAACGCATCATCGCGTCTGTATTAAGATCGTAACTCTTTTCATTGTTATTACTATCACTTATTATTTCCACAGAATCTACTACAGAATTGGCCAACCCAGTGGTTTCTTTGGTCCCTACAATTTTATCAAACCATCTGACAGAATAGTGAGGATATTCGCTCGACTGAGAATTTTGTTTAAACATAGATTCGTCGAACGCTTTTGATTGACAGGCGAGAAGAACTTCGGTATCGTCATGATCGTCACCGAGTAAAATCTCGCTCTGACAATACATGTTTCTTCTTTCCAACTCGTTTATTCTTCGCGAATTTTCTTTATTGGGGATGCTATTAGAAAAAGTTTTGATAAGCACGTCCGTTGCGGTTTGAGAATTAAAATAGCAACGATCTTTGTTCCCTTGGCATGTATTGTCGCTAACGGGGATTGCGTCTTTGTGCGGCGTATTCGAGATCTCTACGAGACTCTTCCCCACTTCGGCAGTGCAACTAGCTATCGTGTCGCCTTTGGTAGACGCGAATTTACCTACAATGTATCGATTCGCAGCTTCGTGGGGCCGTATACTGTATTGCATGTGACTCTTGTCCACAACATGGTTCGGGAGAGACAAATCAATATTCCTAGCGCAGTCATCTTGACGTCTTTCATTTTTAAGGGAATCCGAAGTTTCGCAAACGTCGACGAGACACCCGAGACTGTTCTCGATGTATCTCCGATCTAGATTCACATCTGTCGTCGTCACACCGTTGAGTTTGAATTTTATGCGTACCATCTCCTTCCGGCGTTTTCCTCTGTTCTTGATCACATGTTTGTGTATCAGTCGCTTGTGGAATCTCAGATCCGAAACAATCCCAAAGGTCATGTCGCAAACGTCGCATCTCTGGCTGATATCCCCGAGATTCATCTCGGAATGGTCCAGGATGCCCATTAGCGATCCTATAGCTCCATTGTGTCGCCATCGCGTGTGTAGAGCGACGTCGCTCTCGCATTTGAAGTCCCTGCCGCATATTCTGCATGTACTTCCGACGATGACGACGCTGCATTCTCGTAGAGTTACGGCAGCTGGGACGCGAAAGCCTCTTGCGTTTGGTTGCACGTCCGCTTTACGCATCTCGTTAGTTTTCGGAAAAATGTCCTCGGCCATGAGCCGCCGACCGTCCTCCTTCTTCTGTCTATCGCCGCCACTGCCGCCGTCGCCGCTTCGCCGAGCTTTCACGTCCTCCTGCGAGCTCACGATTGCGCGGCGCAGGGCGCAATAAACTACCGCCAGTGATGGGATATGGCTCGTCGCTCGTCGCCGATAAACTTCGTCCATCAGCAATAAAACTTCGTCTGACTTCGTCCTGGCTCGGATGTGGCGCCACCTCGTGCCTACGGATACGATACAATCTAATATCGAGATATAAACATTTGTCAATTGTACGCGATTGTGTTGTGTCGCGACGTGTCGTTATACGAGCGCGGAGAGAGATTCAACTGTTACCTAAAATCATATTTCGATAACATCTAACCCATTGATGAAGAATGATAAATAAGATTTGTGGTGTGTTTATATGTGCTTTTCTTTTCCTATGACCTCTATGAAGTAAACAAAATATTTGAGTAGTCTAATACGACACAAGGATTCGTGCTGAAGACTTGAGTTATTTTTTAACTCACTGGAAAATCACAGACTTCTATAAAATTAGACTTTTATAGAAGTCTGCGACTGGAATCGAGTCTCCGGAGTAAAATAACGTATAAAATTAAATGTTAAAAATATACAAAGCTTATACAAATGATTAAGATTGAAATAGCAATCTTATTCGTTCTCATTCATCATTACTATCTCGGATTGTGATATCAGAACTGAGAAAATATACAATAAAAGTTTTTACAAAATATATTAATATGGAAATATATTTCAATAAATAACACTTACATAGAATTGATTTGTAGAAAGTATGCCTTTCCTTTTTAGAAAATTCCTTTTATTTCATTAATAAATAATCATATATTTAGAAATGAATTATACACAATAAAAAACGAAATAGATATATTCACAGCTGTCAACTTATTAATTTATATACAAGTAAATATGATTTAATTTCTTCCTGAAAAAAATCATTTTCGGTATATTTTATATCTAAGTCTATTTTATTGAAAAGTATTTCTATTTTGGTCTCGTTTGAATATACACTGCCAGTACCAAAAATTTATAATATATGTAATATGAATATAATAAATTTTCGGTATTGGCAGTGTATATTCTAACAGTCTTTACTGTATTTCTCGCTTCTAAAGTCATAAATTAAGATGGTGATGAATAAGCATTTTGTAAATCATTGTGGACCATCGTGTATGATATATCAGCGATTTTGACATTCTCGAACGTAATTTATGTTCTTATAAACAATAAGAATCTTATTGTTATTAGACCATACATGTGAGAACACAATAAAACATACAATGATTGTAAAACGAACTTAAATCTTCGAAGAGAATAGAAATATTTTTACACGTGCTATTGACTGACCTGTGCTATTGTACTTCGACGAAATGCAAATAATCTTTGTAGGAGAGATATTGCTCGCGTGCCGACAAGAAGGAATATAAAAGAACTATTAGCAACACCGCTAGCCTAAGCCAATCTTCTCTTTATGTATAAGGATCCCTATGTAGATGAGTGTTTACTTCCGTTCGAAAAAGAAAAACAAATTAACCTTCGTATAGATACTTTGACGAAAATATTTAGCTAAAAGAACAATCGGGCGTCCAATGAACATTGTGATCATTCCACGTTTAAGAATTGTTAATCCGATGCTAATACAATAAAAATTTGTATAAAATTTGTATAAAATTTGTATGGTTTCATCGCTCGTGCATTATTTCGCATATAGTCATTGGATTATTCATAATTTGACTTTCAAATTTTTATACAATAATCTTATTATGATTATGCATGATAAGAACTTGTGTGATTTTA